GAGGTGCATGTAGTGTGGGTTTTCTTGAAACCCTGAACCGGACCAGAATTCCAGTATTGCCCTGGACCTTGGAGATAGATGGGCAAAACTAGAATGTTACACCTGACCCCTAGACTCAATTATGATACTACACTAAGTGTCGGATTGGGCTATCTTTGATATGCCAATTAGTGAAATCCTTAGAGGGGGTCAAAACCTGGGTATATTGGGACAGCCCAAGAATTCATCTGAGTGGGTGATCATAATGACAGGATTATCCCCTTTGTTGGACAAAGTGAATGATCAAGGATGCACTCTCCCTGATGGAAACCTAAACTATCGGTAGTCGATTTCAACCATTGAAATTTGTTTTGCAAAATATATATATATATATATATCTTGCTTAAGTCCTAGAAGTTTGCTTAAGTCCATATATGGATCTATTAAGTTTACATACCATGTGTTCCTAACCAGCAGCAATGAAGCCTTGCAGCTGCCGCATGTAGATATCTTCACTAAGATCTCCATTCAAAAACACGGTTTTGACATCCATCTACCAAATCTCGTAGTCATGGTATGCTACTATAGCTAGCAGGATCCTAATGAATTTAAGCATGGCCACAGGCGAAAAGGTTTCCTCATAGTTGATGCCTTCTTTCTGAATATACCCTTTCGCCACCAAACGAGCTTTGAAGGTCTCAACCTTGTCATCGGGGCCCTTCTTCCTCTTATAGATCCATTTGCAACCGATTGCTTTTACCTCAGAGGGCGGATCTACTAGAGTCCAGACTCCATTGGCCTCAATTGAGTCCATCTCAGCTCTCATGGCCTCCACCCACTTCTAGGAATCTATATCCAACATAATTTCCGCGTAAGTCATGGGATCCTCCTCACTAGTCAAGGCTTCCACCAAGTAACTATCCTAGTCATAACCATAACGGACTGGTGGCCGGGATACCTGGGTGGATTTTCTAGGTTGGTTACTACCTAGAACTTGTAGGACATCTCCCACTGCTCCTGAGCTCTCCTCATCAAGAACTATTTCCTGACGATGAGTGTCCAAGATATAATCCGTCTCTAAGAACTAGGCGTTTCGACTGCAAAACACTTTCTGCTCACTTGGGTCATAGAATAGATAACCCACCAAATCCTTTGGGTAGCCTACAAATAGGCAACGACTGGTCTTGGATTCCAACTTGTCCGCACTCGTTCTTTTAACGTGCGCAGGACATCCCCAAATCTTCAAGTGTCTGACACTTGGTTTTTTTCCGGTCCAAAGTTCGTATGGAGTTTTTGGAACCAATTTGGTTGGAACCCGATTCAGTACGTAGATTGCAGTCTCTAATGCATATCCCCAAAAGGATGTGGGTAACTCCGAGCGTGTGAGAACTGACTGGACCATGTCTAACAATGTCCTATTCCTTCTCTCTGAAACACCGTTAAGTTGCGGTGTTGCAGGAGGAGCTAGCTATGATATTATCCCGTTGGCCTTCAAATAGTCCCTGAATTCGTCAGAGAGATACTCGCCACCTCGATCTGATCGAAGGGCCTTAATTTCTCTCCCTAACTGTTTCTCGATTCACTGTCTGAACTCCTTGAATGTTTCAAAGGATTCAGACTTATGTCTCATTAGGTACACGAAACCATATTGTGAGAATCATCGGTGAAGGTGATGAAATACACGTGTTGGTTACGAGTCCTAACACTCAGGGGACCACATACATCAGTATGTATAAGGTCAAGCGTGCCTGTACATCTTTCAGGCTTACCGTTAAATGGTCATTTTGTCATCTTACCTCGGAGGCAAGTTTCACAAGGGGGAAGATCTTCTATGGTTTGAAAATCCAAAGGACCATCCTTTACCAGTCTTGTGATTTGGTCAACACCGATATGGCCAAGTCGGTAATGCCACAGGCACGTGGGACTAACTATATCACGAGTCCTTTTCTTGGGGATTTCGACCGACGTAGTTTCGGTTAAGTTAGTTTCTAGAGAAGGATGTAGAACATAGAGACCGTTCTCCAGTTCCCCACATGTGATGGATTTATTGTTCCTTTTAATAGTAATCATATTACTAAAACAGACAGTNTAGTAATCATATTACTAAAACAGACAGTATATCCATCAGCACAYAGTTTAGAAACAGAAATCAKATTTCTTCTYAAGTTTTGTACATAAAGACAATCCTTAAGTACAAGTATTCCTTCTCTAAAGACTAATTCTACGGTTCCTATTGCCATAGCTGCAACACTTGCAGAAGTCCCCAAGTAAAGTGTCACTTCTCCTTCATTCAGCCTTTTGCTTACTTTGAACCCCTACAGTGAATTACACACATAAGTTGAAGCCCCGAAGTCAACACACCAGGACACAGAAGCAACTAACAGATTAGTTTCCATGACACAAGTTTCGAAAGTACCTTTCTTAGATTCCAGGTAGGCAGGACAGTTACTCTTCCAGTGGTCGGCCTGCTTGCAGAAGTGACAAGCATCAGATGTCTTGTCTTTCTTTTGTTTCTTAGATTTAGTGGCCTTTTTCTGGGGTTTTCTATGTTCCCTCCTCTTCTTGGCAGATTTGCCAGCTTCAACAAGCATGGTTATCGACTCATCCTTCCTAATCAGTTCCTCGGCTCGTTGCAACATATTGTTGAGCTCTTGAGCGCTAACTTTTAGCTTGTTCATATTATAATTCATTATGAACGGATTTAAGGACGGAGGCAAGGAGTTAAGAATGGCATCTATCTGTGTGACCAGATCTAGCCTAGACCCAAGGACCTCTAGCTCGTTTATGCAACCCATCATTCGGAGACAATAGTCATGAACTTGTTGCCCCTTGGTCATCTGTGCAGTCATGAACTTTTTTAGGACCTTTTGACGAGTAGAACGGTTCTTCTCTTCATACATAGTTTTTAGACTATCCAATATGTCCTTGGCTAGTTCGATCTGATCAAACTACCTCTGTATCGGATTATCTAAAGAGGCTATGATATAGCAATGGGCTAGGGAGTTTTTCTCCTCCCATTCTTGGTATTCCCTCCTACGGGCTTCCGAAACCCTGTCTCCAGGACGATCCGGTGCAGGATTCTTTGCCACTTTATCTAACTTTTCTGAAATCAGGACCAGCATAAGGTTTCTGTACCAGTCGGCATAGTTTGGACCCTTAAGTTTGTTGTCGTCAAGCAACTTAGCAAATTGTCCATTTGCCATTTTCTGGTAAAACAGCAAAGCGTTAGTCCACAACCTTAGTTTGATTCATGTTACCTACATAGATATGGCTTTTAATCTATGTTCCATTCCCATTTGTCCATCTATGAGATTTCCCTCCTATCTCAGTGATGGAGACAGTGAAATGTCTCTAGAAATGTGGGAAATCACATAGGTTGCGTGGAGCCAACTGTTTCAGCTACATATCCCCACCACCTTTCTGTGACAGATCATATTCACTCATCGTATGAGTTTCCCTTTGGCCTCTGCCAAACAAGGTTCATAGCCATTTTAGGGTAAACCTTTCTGTCCAGTGAGTGTTCACCCATCATATTTAGGTTACGCCAAGGTACCATGAGAGAGTTCCCATTTTCTGGTGAAGCCCCTCCCACATCGGCCTATGACGCCCCTATCATCTTATGAAACACTCTGACAGACCCAACAGCAAATGGATAGCCCAATTTTATGGTGTGTTTCCTCATTACTGAAGAACCCATCATCGTGCTAATGACGGAAGGCCTTTAGAGAGTCCATCATATAGATCTCCCTATAACATGCACTCATATTACCGGAGGGAACAAGTGATTACGCCCTAGTTAATTTAGGTCAAACCAAAGTGGCTCCCACTGACTTTCATAAAGTTAGATTTCTAGAGGCCCAATGGGGCTAGGGATTCCGCATGCGACCCCTTTCAGGGTTGTGGGGCCCACCACGAAAGGAGGGGGTCATCCAATGACCGTAAGGGACACCATGGCAATGATGTGCATTCAGC